GTGTGGTGTGTGTGTGTGTGGTGTGTGTGGTGTGTGTGTGTGTGTGTGGGAGTGTGTGGTGTGTGTGCGCGCGCGCGCGCGCGTGTGTGTGTGTGTGTGTGTGTGTGTGTGTGTGTGTGTGTGTGTGGTTCCTCCTCCCTCCACTCTGCCCCCCACACCCCGCTCTGAGGCCCTCTAACTCCCTCAGCCGCAGGCATCCATCAAGGGCTGTCTTGGTCTCTCATCTCTCAGTGAGGTCGGGGGCAGGTAAGATTCATTCTCCAGCCGGTGTGATTTACTCCCCTCCCGGGAGCCCCGGCTCCTGCGGTCGCTCTGAGTTTCCGGTCTCCATTTGATTCTCCGTAGCAGCACCTCACCATGGTGATGAGGTCCCCTGGGCCAGCTCCCCTCCTGGCTCTGGTGACGTGGCTCTCCATCATCTCTCCTCTAGACCTTCACCCCTGCCTGGAATGCACCCTGAGCCCAGTTCCTCCTGGGTAGGGCTTTCGTGCCTGTGTCCCCACGCTGGGTGGCTTGGACGCGAATGCTGATATGGATGGCCTGGCCAGCAGCCGGCACTGTCTCTGAGCTGTCCACACAGTCCAGGCCAAGCCAGCTTCCCTCCTCGTCTGTGTCCCTCTTAGCACCATGGTCTGTGAAGCCCGCACACTGCAGGGAAGTTCACAGCCAGCATGCTCGGGTCACGCCAGGATTCCCAGACGGTGATGGCGGTCTATGAAATGCCTGGGACCTCCGCCACTGTGTGGCCACTCATTTTAACACCAGTTGGAGTCTTACGTCGTCGTGTTCCGGTCATTGCCTGGCTTTATTTGGCTTTATGGGCATAGGCGTATGAGTTTCCGTGAGTGCATGGCGCAAGTGTGGGAAGTACCCACAGACACTGGGGGAAGACGCACCGTCCCTTGGAGCTGGGGTCGCTGGCCCTCATGCTTGGGCGGCTCGTGCTCCTTACCCCCGAGCCAGCTCTCCAGTCCCACGTCATTTGGTGACGAGCGGCTCCGTGCCCATCACCTTCCACGTGCGTAGAAAATTACGGCCATCGCGAAGGATGTGAGTTTGTGTCTCACTTCAGCTGGGTTTCGAGTTTCCCTAGAGCTTCATGATTGGGGCTTCTAATAGCGCTGATTCACACTCCCCACCCCATGTACGTGTGTGCATGTGTATGTGTGTGTGTGCATGTGCACATATGGGTAGGTGCACATATGTGTATGGAGCCACACATGTCTGCATGTGCTTGCAAAGGCCTCAGGTCAACATCACATGTCTTTTCCTGATCATTCTTCATTTCATGTACGGAGTCAGGGTCTCTCCCTGAGCCTGGAGAGCTCTGATTTCGCTAGTGCATCTCTCTAGACAGCTTGCCTCTGGGTCTCTGATCTCCCGCGATGAGATTACAGGTGGGCCCCCAAGTTTACTCCACTTTTACACGGATTCTGGGGACTTGTGCAAAGAGTGCTTTCATGGTTGGGCCATCTCTCCAGCCCAGGGCCTTTACTCAACAAATGTATTTCTTTTTCCTTTTCTCTTTCTTCCTTTCTTTCTTTCTTTCTTTCTTTCTTTCTTTCTTTCTTTCTTTCTTCCTTCCTTCCTTTCTTCCTTTTTCCTTCCTTCTTTCTTCCTTTCTTTCCTTCCCTTCTCCTTCCTCCTCCTCCTCTTCCTTCTTTATGTTACAGGGTTTCTCTGTGTAGCCCTGGCTGTCCTGGAACTTGCTCTGTAGACCAGACTGGCCTCGAACTCAAAGACCCACAGCCTCTGCCTCCCCGGTTCAATATGTGTGTCTTAACGCCGCACATGTCTCTTTTGCTGTGTTTCCGTGCCCACACGTTTCGTATTTGTGTTGTACTTCAGTTCTAATTCAGCTCAACGCTTGTGATCTCCCTTGAGACATCATCTTCAGCCCACGGCTTATTTGGAAGTGTTGTTTTGTTTTCAAGCTTCTGGAGATCGCCTTGCTATCATCTGTCACTCACTCCCCATTTGATTCCATTCTGGTTGGCTGTGTGGCTGTTTAATTTCTGTTGTGCGACAAGGCACCCCGACTAAAGCAACTTAGGGAGATTTGTTTTACCTCGCAGTTGCAGGCCACAGTCCGTCCTTACAGGGACGTTACGGTGACAGTGAAACTGGTCACATCACATCCGCAGTCAAGGGCAGAGAGCAGTGATTTTGCGCAAGCCTGCATGCATTCACCTGGCTTTTTCCCACTCTCCTCTAGCTCAGGATTCCCTGCCGAGGGAATGGTGTCATCCACAGCGAGCAGGCCTCACTGCCCACGGCCCACCTGATCGGGGCAGTTCCTCACTGAGATGCCTCGGATGATTTTAGATCACGTCAAGCTGACAACTGAAACCATCATATTACGATTGCAGTTCTTTCACAGTTGCTGAGGTTTGCCTCAGAATCCTTGTTCAGTGTTCTTCAGGTTCTTAAGAAACGTGTGCCTGGGGCTGGAGAGATGGCTCAGCAGTTCAGATCCATTGCTGCTCTCCTAGAGGCCTGGAGTTTGGTTCCCAGAACCCATGTCAGGTCTCTCACAACCTCCTGTAATGCCAACTTCAGGAGATCTGATGCCCTCTTCTGGCTTCTGTGAGTATCTGTGCTCATGCACATATCCACCACAGACACACATACATAATTTAACATAATAAAATAAATATTTAAAAAAATATAAAGTTCAGTGTGCGAGGAAGACACCTGATGTGAATATTTGGCTTCCACATGCACGTGTCCACACTTGAACACACACACACACACACACACACACACACATGCACGCATGCACAGGACCTTTGGCATTAGATCCATCTGCTTGTGGAATCCAGGATGGCTTCTTCCCAAGATGCTCAACTTAACTCTGCAGCAAGAGCTATTTTTCCAGATCCTCTGAGTGGGTTCCATTCCCCACACCGTGTGGGAAGTTCTTATCCTGGGTGTGTCAACCCCTGCTCTACTCAACAGCACCCAGCCAGGGGACAAGTGGGGTGATCCAGGGGCTGGGCAAGCATGGGAGGCATTGTCACATCCTAGCAGCAGCAAAGGTGACAGTTCTGCAGGCGGAGAAGAGCAGGGCTGCCCCCTCGGAGGCAAAGAAGCTGCGGTTGGGGAACCTTGCTCCCCGAGAGCAAAGGACGCCTCCAGGGAGACTAGACATTCCCGGCAGCCCCAGGAAGACTGGACCCAGAGCAAGCTGGGCGTGGGGGCCCGCACTGGCTTCTGGAATCAAGGTGCTTTTGATTAGGGTGCCAGCTCTGAGCCAGACACCCCCAACTGTCCCTTCACTGCAGTTGTTCTCAATCTCATAGGTCCTTCCCTCCCGTGAGGGTCACAACGCTTTCATTTGTCACTGGATGCTGGGCTGATATTAAATCTCATCTTGCAATAGGCACCAATAAAATGCAGTCCCTCCTGGCAAAGATTTCCCTTAACTGGGGGGAGGGAATGCATAAGAAAAGGTTATGAATAAAGTATGGGGGTCCTGGGGTGTAGACTCAGTGGTAGGGTGCTTGCTTAGTATGTACAAGGTCCTGGGCATCCCTCAGCATCCCTCCCCACAAATGCAGGTAGGCTGCATGTTGAACGTGATGGACCAGAGCAAGTGGATGCCTCCTGAGGGTCTCAACATCAATAATCTTCCTTGGGAACCAACAAGAATTGGGACCAAGGAATTGGGGAGATAGCTCAGGCAAGCCAGGGGCCTAGGTATGAACCCTCAAATCCAGGTGCTATGTCCCTAGCTTATAATCCTAGTACCGGAGAGGGAAATACAGGCAGGCAGCTGGCAAGGGGCCAGTGAGAGCACCCAGGCCCGTGAGAGACCTTGTCTCAAAAAATAAGGTGGGAGCCGGGCGGTGGTGGCTCATGCCTTTAATCCCAGCACTCAGGAGGCAGAGGCAGGTGGATCTCTGTGAGTTCGAGGCCAGCATGGTCTACAGAGTGAGTTCCCGGACAGCCTCCAAAACAATACAGAGAAACCTTATCTCAAAAAACCAAAAATAAAATAAAAAATAAGGTGGGTATGGTAGTTTGGATATAATCAGCCTGCGTAAGTTTATAGGGAGTGGCACTATGAGGAGGTGTGGCTTTGTTGGAGTAGGTGTGGTCCTGCTGGAGGAAGTGTGTGGAGGAGGGCTTTGAAGTCTCTTTTGCTCAAGCTTCACTCAGTGTGGTAGACAGTCCATTTCCTGTTGCCTTCTGATCAAGATGTATCCCAGCACCTCAGTCAGGCTAAGCCCTCACCCCCTGCACATGTGGAGGTAGGTGTCTGCCTCCATCCGCCTCCCAGCATCCTTCCCTCTCCTGTGGGACGAGGGAGAGCTGTTTCCAGAGGCTGCCCCGGGAACCCCTTTTTCTTGAGGGCAGCTTGGGCATTCTTCTAATCATACTTCCCTTTGTTGATGCTTATTGTTCCTGATCTTGCTTCCTGCCTAGGGGGTGGGGCCTGGGCTACCTGGCAGGGCAACCCTCCTCAGTAACCATCGCCAGCAACTCACCCTCAAAGTACCGTGTGATAGATGGGAGAGCCCTGGCTGCCTATTGCTGCTCAGCCGTACAGGTTGCCATGGAGACAAGCCCATGTAGGCCTCCCCCCCCCATCACTATGCCAGTGACTTCTCAAGACTGCTTGGAAGCCCCGGGGTGCCCTTCTTGCAGGTGATGAACGGCGTGGAGAGGAGCTGGGAATGAGAGAGGGGTCAAAGATCAATGCAAACCACTGTGTGCTGTGGAAGTTGCATTCTGATGCCCTGAGGATTACATGCTTGGTTGGGTGAGGAGCATAGGGAATGTTCTGGGCCCCAGACTGTAGGTGCTACTTAGAGGAGTTGGGGGATAGAGGCTGTGGACCTGTTTTTGAACTTGTGAAGGTGGACTACGGTGTTGGGGCTTAACTGCTACTCTGGCTTCATCTGGGGGGCGGAATGTGAGCTGGGAGGGTCTCTGGAGGGCTCTTCCTGTGTGAAGGGATTAGGGTCGCCCTTGACGGAACCTGTATGCTGTTGCAGGTACAGGAAGCTGACAAAAGAAAGGATTGGTGATTCCGCCTGCCTGGACTCCCTCCCGGTTCTGCCACGCAGAATAGTCCCGAATCCAGGTGCCGGCAGCGCCCTCGGACTTTCCAGCCTCCAGAACCCTGTGCCAAATAAACTTCTGCTCTGTATGAATTGCTCGGCCTGTGTTATCTTGCTATTGCAGCAGAATATAGACCGAAACCTTGTGTATCTCAGGTAGGGCTCAGGGTGTGGGCATGGGACACACTTGGGGGTCATTATTGCTTAAAGGAGCCTAGAGTCCAACATGGCACAACCAGGAGATCAGTCAGAAAGCTTGCTGAGGCTGGGATGCCCCCGCACACATTTATCTATTCGTTATTTATCTTTAAGCAGGGTTTCTCTGTGAAGCCCTGGCTCTCTTAGAACTTGCTCTATAGGCCAGGCTGGCCAGGAACTCAGAGATCTACCTGGAGTAAAGGCATGCACCACTCTCTGCTGGAACACTTTTTAGTTTTAAAAGAGATTTATTCTTATTCTTATTTTTTTTAAGTTTTTAAAAAAAATTTTAATTATGTATACATATAGTGTTCTATGCTTGGACACCAGAAGAGGGCACCAGATCTCATTACAGATGGTTGTGAGCCACCATGTGGTTACTGGGAATTGAACTCAGGTCCTCTGGAAGAGCAGGCAGTGCTCTTAACCTCTGAGCCATCTCTCCAGCCCCTATTCTTATTATTTTTAAGTCTCTCCCTCCCTCCATCCCTCCGTCCCTCCCTCCCTCTCTCCACTCCCCCTCCCCGTGTGTGTGTGTGTGTGTGTGTGTGTGTGTGTGTGTGTGTGTGTGCGCGCGCGCGCTTGTATGTGAGTACCTGAGGAGGCCAGAACTGTCAGCTTTCCCCTGAAGCCACAGTAACAGGTGGTTGTAAGTTGCCTGACATGGGTTCTCAGAACCAAAGTCAGGTCCACTTGAAGAACAGCACACATTCTTAACAGCTGTGCCATCTCTCTCTCCGGTACCCTGGACATGTTTTATTGCTAGTGGCTTGAGTCTGTTGCACACTGCGGAAGTCAGTGCGGGAGTGGGGTGAGGCCTGAGCAAGGGGGATGGCATCACAAGGGTGTGGACGGGATTCGGGAGGATCCTAAGGAGGCGGATAATAGGGCTCGATGCAAGGCTGGGGGAGCCAAAGCCTCCTGGGAACCGTGCTTCCGGGAGGAGAGCTGTCTTAGGAGTGAGGGGCATTCATTGAGGCTGGGACTGGACCCTGTGGTGCTGGCAGCAGACCCAGCCCCTTCCCCCCCCAGCAAGCCACACAAATGCTCTGTCATTGAGCTGTGCCCTACATCTTGGTTTTCTGTGTAGATGCTGTAAAGAAAAGAACAGCGTGACTAGACTCGACCAGCGTATGTCCCTGTGACTCTAGATTCCCCTGTCCTCTCCTTGGGTGTTCAGTCCATTCCTTCTCCTTGTCGTCCCCCACAAGCCCCGGGCCCCCAGGCCTCCCTCTGCAGGGCCGGTTGGCTCTTCTAGACGGTCCCATCCCTCACACACTTCTCTCCGACAAAGGTCCGTTTCGCATCACACCTCTGTGCGTGCCTGGCTAGCCATGCTGCCGCAGAGAGAGCACGCGTGCTGTGTATCCAAACAGCAAAGGCATCCCAGAGGCCAGCAGGTGAAGGCTTCAGGCCCAGCTCAACATCGTAGGATCAGGGTCACACCCTTCAGCCTCCCCAGGGCTTCCTTCCAAAGCCCCGCGCTCGCCCAACTGGAAGAGCCCTTTTCTCCCTCCTCATCTGGCAAGTCTCTCAGAACAATACACAGAATTGTTTAAATTGAATTTGCTAGGTGCCTGATGTTTCATTTGAAAATACCTAATGAATAATTAACGTTTGATAAATAATAAAATTTAGCATCTATTAACGTGGGCTTAAATACTAAACAGTTTAATTGCTTAATTTGATGTCTATTTTTGAAAACTAAAATAGGAAGGAGGTCTCAAAGCTGTACAGGCTGAGCGTTCTCAGGCGAGCCAAGCTCTTCTTTTTCTCTGCCAGTGGAAACATCAGGCAGGTATCTCCTGTCACAGGTGTCTTGTGTGGCAGGTATCCCGGAGTGGAGAGGAGACTGTGGTGACATCACTTCTTCCCCTCTGAGACCCAGGAGGGCTTTGGCTCCCAAAGGCTCAGTGTGTTTAGCTCCACAATGTCGAAATGCCAGGAATCCTGAAGTCCTTAGGGGAACTGGCTGCTGAGGGGCGGGGAGGGGGGAAGGCTGCGTGAAGGAAGGCCAAGGTTTCTGGACTGTGGGATGGCTCAGCAGGTAAAGGGGCTTGCTACTAACCCTGAGTCCCTAGGTTCAATCCCTGAGACTTACATAACAGAAGAAGAGAACCTGTTCCTGCTGGTTATCCTCTGACCTCCACATGTACTCCATAGCATGCATACACACACACACACACACACACGCACGCACGCACACACGCACACATGTACACATATACATACACATGCACACACATGCGCGTGAGTGCACACACACTTAACTTTGAAAAATGGTACATACGTTTGCAATTCCAGAGCTGGGCAGGGGGAGACAGGTGGCTCCCTAGGGGTCACTGGCCAGCCAGCCCAACCTCATTGGCGAGCTCCAGGTTCATTGAGAGACCCTGTCTCAAAAAATGAGATAGAGAGTGACTGAGGAAGATACTGACATTGGCCTCTGACCTACACACACCCCACAGATGCACACATGCGCGCGTGCGCGTGCACACACACACACACACACACACACACAAAGTTGAGGCTTCTGAAAGGGCACAGAGCTCACCTAGAGACCTGTGCTCAATATGTGACTATTACTTGACCCCAATAAAGCAGCCTGTCTAGTTCTTCCAACAAGGATCTGCGGTGCTGCCTACTCTCTGAAATTCTTGACAGGCAGGCTCTGGAGAGGCATCTTGGGCCCCCCAAAACAGCCCACACTATGGCACCCAGGTGACCAAGAACAGCCTCCTGTGTCTCTTCAAAGCTAATCTATTCTCCTGTCCATTGGGACAGAAGAATGACAATTCACTGGCCTGATTCCAACCAAATCATACACTTGGGAGGGAGCCATCTGGAGTGGGCAATGTCCTGTGGGTACCCGGGAGATTCAGGAACCCTGGTTTGGGTGTTGAAGGCAAATAGGGAAACCTCCCGGTAACTTTCTTACGCTTCTTGGGTATACAGAGTTTTTCCTGGTCTCTCTGTCCTCAGAGGAAGCGGAGCAGCCTAGGTGTGAGGCCCCAGAGATCTGTTCAGAGCATGGCCTGGTCCAGCAGGGAGGCTCCCTAGCTGAGGAATGTCCACAGTGCTCTGCTGCCCTGGCTAGACAATAGATGGACCTCCTGTTTCTTGCCAAGACTCTGGGCAGGTCCAGCATGGTGATAGGTTCTCTGTGGACCGAAGTCACTATGGGATGTCCAAGGACCGTGGAGGACTAAAGAGGTCCCCTTCACCCACCTGGGACAACTCCATCCCGGACTTACTGCCCGCCCGGAAGAGGAGGGAGGAAGCAGACAGCCCAGAAGCCTCGGGATGCAAGGCCACTAGGAATGGACTCCTCAGGATCCTTAAGAGAAGTCAAACTTCAGGGGTGGGGGTGGGGGTGAGTACCCAACACCCCCCAACCAACATGTCCTTCAGCCTCACTCCCCTCAGCTCCTCACTGCCTGTGCCCCACCCCTGTCCAGCTCTCTGCTCCACCCCTGTCCTGCTCTCTGCCCCACCCCTGTCCAGCTCTCTGCCCCACCCCTGTCCTGCTCTCTGCTCCACCCCTGTCCTGCTCTCTGCCCCACCCCTGTCCAGCTCTCTGCTCCACCCCTGTCCTGCTCTCTGCTCCACCCCTGTCCTGCTCTCTGCTCCACCCCTGTCCTGCTCTCTGCTCCACCCCTGTCCAGCTCTCTGCCCCACCCCTGTCCAGCTCTCTGCTCTAGCAGGGTGGGTGTGAGCCGCCCATGCCAAGCCCTTGCTTGAGCTGTGGTACTCTCTGGCTTGATGTTCAGAGACCAGGGCCTGTGGCAGCACTGCCTTAAGGGTCTCGGGAGTTTTAAATAGGAGCGAAGGAGCATTTCCGATCTCGTTTTCCAGTATTTCAGCTGTGCCATAATCTATTTACCACACAATTTGTGTCACTTTGATAAGCGGCTGCTTCGAGACTACATTTATTAAAATCAAGAGCCAGGACAGCTTTCAAGTCTCCCAAGAATTGTAATAAATGTCTGGAATTAGTCATTACGGTGTTTGCCGGGGTGCATATCCATACTCCATCTAGGTGACAAATGGTCACATCTCACACACGTTCTTTTTGGGCGATGATGGCAAAGTCTTCACTTTGACACCTCCAGAATGGGGGGAGGGAGGGACCAGGGCAGGGTAGGGCAGCCTCCAGGGCTGCTGCTCAGCCCCGTGAAATGCCTGTTTAGCTTAAACTCCATTACAGCAGAGCACAGTGGCCTGGGAGGCTCCTTCCCTTCCTCTTCCCTCCTCCCCAATCCAATCTACTTCTTATTTCACCCCTGGAGCCCCAGCTCCCTCCTCCACCCCAACCAGCCACGCTGTTCGAGGACATTGCGATTTTGCAGACGGTTTCCGATTTCCTTTGGGTCGGGGAGGGGCGTAGATCTGTAGAAGAGCAGCTTCGCTCTAGGATACCACATGCTCAGGGGCTCCAGCTCAGGCAGCTTTTGCTCCACTGCTTGGAGAGCCCAGGGAGAGCAAGTGCGAGAGTGGGACCCCCGGCCACGCCCTGCCTCAGTGATACCCTGGGACTCAGGGTCCCAGGGTGACATCCTGTAATGTGGTGATCAGGTCACTGAACCATCAGAGTCGGACAGAAACCAAGAAACGAGAGTGGGGCTCTGGGCGGCTGTGCTGTGGCAGCAGGCAGGCAAGCTGGGAGACTCCGGGACTGGGCATCCTTTCCAGGGGTCCTCAGAGCTGGGATGCTCTCCTCCATGCCTTTGGGGGGGCTTCATGGGTGATGCTTGGTGCAGGTCTATTCCACAGGCTCAGGGTCTCCGCCACGGAGGAGCACTGAGTGGACCAACAAGGGGGGGGGGGAGACAAACACCAGAGCGCTTCTGCAGAGATGACCTTGGTGGAGGTGTGCAGAGGAGTCAGAGACTGGT